CCCGCAGAACTGACCACATGCAAAATTCCATTCCTAGGTCACATGCTGAAATATCCACAGTAGAAACTCTCCAACTAGTTGCCACATTTCAGGCAAGCTACTCAGAAGCACAGACTGGTCACCAAGAGCGTCCATTGATTCATGCCTCGATATTGTAATCCACGCAGATTCAAATATAAAACCCAAATAGAATAAGATCAACTGTTATTATTGACAACAAATGTTAGTATATCTAACTTCTCTTTAACTTTTTTATTAATCTCGTAGATCCAATATCAATAATTTTCATCGAGTTAGCAAAGAGATCCCTTGACTTCCTTCAGCAAGTTTGACATAAAAAGATCTAGTTTACAAAAGAAGAAAAATTTTTGAGGATAAAAAAAGACAGATGATGCAGGACAGGAGTATAAAGAATCCTCCAAATGTAAAGAGCAAGGTCAGCATGAGTGGACTCTTGCATACAAGTTTTACGAGTTCCTATTATCCTCATTTGTATTGCACTTTTGAGAGATAGATGCATAAATTACTTAGCAAGACAGGACAAGGTCTCCAATAAATTACTTGGTGATAGCCATTTTAGTAAACAAAAGATAAAATTTTGAACATCCAAAGACTCAGCTTCTTCCAACTACTTCTGGCATTTACCTGGCCAGCAGCAGCAGGAGAATGATCAGGAGGCATGCCCTTTGGATCAGCCCAGCTAACAGTGGGGGTATGACCATCAAGCTTAAAATTAGCATTTAACATTTTCTGCCTTGAATAATCAGCACAAGCGTTATTGTAATACAATATAAAAGCAAAACCACGGTTGCGAGTTGGAGTTTGAGGATCCTGAAATTAAGAGGAAAATAGCATTAGCAAGGCAAGCAGTCATATCTACTTGAGAGATGAGAGAACTGTTCAGCTCCAATTCCACCTTTATGAGCTCAAGAACTTCCATCCCGGGACCAACCTCTTCAATGATTTTTCTAAACTCATCCTCTGTCAAGTTCTTTGGAACATTACCAATAAACAATCTATTTTTTGTTTCAGATATTGAACATCTTAAGGTTTTTCCCTGCAGGCATGGCTAAAAGTTAGTTTAAAATTAAAAAAAAATAAATGAAAACAAAGATTAAGGACAGCATGCAAGCGAATTACTGCACTGCATTATGATTACCTTGTAGTCTTTACTACGAAGCTCTTCAATGGCTTTTCAAGCAACCTCCTTAGATTTGAATGCTACAAAAGCAAAACCCTTGCTTTCACCAGTGTCCTTATCTTTCATTAGCCTTATCTGAAACATGTTAAGATAAATCCACATTAAAAATGCCAAAAAAAAAAACCAATATATCTTGTGTACAAATCAAAAAATTATGACCTCAAACATTTCGCCTATCGTTTCACAGAGATCCCTCAATTCATCTTCGATTACATCCTTCGGAAGTCCACCAATGAAAACTTCAGAACCGTGAGGAGGAAGAGAAAGTAGTTGAGCATGCTTATCCTTTTCCTCTTTTTTAACCGAAGCAGTGGGCTTTTGTTCATCCTCCACAGGTTCAGCGTTGGGAAGGCTTCTATCTGCTTCTGGAGATTGATCTTTCTGACTGCCCTCAGGCTTTGAGTTTTCATACTCCTCTTCAACATTTTCTTCAGCATGTGCATCTCCAACATCATCTTCTCCATCCTCATCTAGTTGATCTAGAACATCATCGTCTATCTCTTCCATATAATTTTATTCTTCAAGATCCACTCGTTCCTCAATTTCTGTGCCCTTTGCCATGACTTTTTCACACACCAGGTCTTATCATCTAACAACTGCAGTTAAATTGCCCCTAAATTAACTGCAAGTTTAAGTAGTCATCATGGAAAACGTGTGGAACCTGCAAGAATGTGCATAATGCACAAAAATTGATATGGGCTGGTTCCAAATGGGAATGTAAGAGTGACATGCAGAGTTGGAAAAACCCTCCATGTCCAGAATAGAGCTGGGAAGCTACAGAAATGTAGGGCCAAACGACTAGCAATAAAAAAAAAATTGTTATAGTATTTGTGGTCGCTAGTGCATGTTTTAACATTTGTGGAGTGGGTATAGCATTTTTGGAGGTGGTTACAGCACCCATGGAGTAGTTAAGTATTTGCAGAGCATGTTATAGTGTTTGTGGAGTGTGTATAGTGTTTGTGGAGTGTGATGGACAGCGCAACTATAGTTGTCTTGCTCCAAGTTCAACTAGGAACCAAAGAAGAAAGGGAAAATGAAATAAAAAACCCAATTGTCCTTTGCAATCGATCCTGACAAAGACAAAAACAGGAACAGAAAAACCACTCAGCTTCCATAGGTAGCATTGCCATTGCTTGGCTGAATTTAAGTTAAAATCTGCACTTTTCTTTTATCAGGAACTGTACAAGATTTTGAATCCAAACACAAATTAAATAAGCAAACTTTTAAATCAGTAAGCAGATAAACTAAATCTTATTCCATCTCAACTTGGTCAACATTTCAGGGGTGGTTCAAAAAACTCACACACCAAAACACATACCCAGTTCAAAAATGTTACTCTGGTGACGAAAAAAATCCCCAAAACAACCAGAAATCAAAGAGAAATAGCAAGACTTTAGAACGACAGTGAGGATAGCAATTAAACCCTAAACCCTACTTAGTACCAATCTAAAAATTGACTTGGACTGAATCAGCCAAACCCTCAATTGAAATTAAAGATAAAACCTAGCAGATTCCAAATCAATGAGAAAAAAAAACCCTTAAAAAAAAAAGAAAATCGTCGAATTCGAGCAAGGCGTTAAACAAAAGAAACAAGATTTGCGGCAGAGAGATAGAGAGAGAAAAAAATAGACAAAAGGAATAAACATTAGCAATGTACCAGTGACTCTGTTTTTTTCTTTATCTTGTTTTTTCCCCTCTCTGTTTCTCCCTGTTTATTTCCTTCTTCGCGGTAGTTATCCGAGGAAATCAATGAGAGTGGGTGACACTCTCTCCCCACCGTAAGATGGAAACAGATTTTTATCTGCTGTGACGGAGTACTGTAATAACAGTGAAGATGCGTCCGAATTCATGACACGCCATCTTGCTTCGAGGAATTTCTCTCATGAGAAGACTATAATACCCTCCGAGCATTATTGCACGTGACTGGGTCTGGGATGCGGCTAATCTAAATGCTCCATAAAATTGTTTTGTTTTGTTTTTTAATTAAAGAAGAATGTATTTAGCTAGAACCACAATCCCACGGTAATTATGTTATTAAGATAAGTCAAGCGGTTTGAATTAAGAGGGTGACTCCTTTATTCGGCCTTTTTGATTGGTTTGGATTTTAAAATAATATGTATAAAATTAAGTTAATTAGTTTAACATTTAATCTAAATTATGACTTGATTGGGTTTAATAATATTAATTTTTATTTAATTAAATTATTATAGCAATAAACATTCGTAAAAAGAAAACAACAAAATCAAACCATTAAAGAAAAATGCATTTATTGAAGCTAAGCTTAATTTCATTATCAATGCATTTTTTAATTGTGTAAACAAAAGCATGTTTACTGATTATAAACATTATTTTTTAAATCAAATTCTATAATAATATCAAAAATATTAAAACAGTGTCTTAATATTTCTTAATGAGATTAGAGTTTTTATGGTTATATCTGTAATAAATTTTTAATAATTATATATGATGTTAATATGGAATAAGTCATATAAAAAATTGCACATAAATATTCAATGAAAATTAATTATTATTGTTGTTTTTATCTTTTATATGGTTTTCATGAATTAATTATTCTTTGAATTTTTTTCATATAGTAACATAAAAATATTGAAGACATTATCTTTATTATTTTTGTTTGAAACTTCATTTAGATTATAGTAAGTTTTTTTATTTGAAAAGGCATGCTACTAATAAAAAAAATCATGTTTTCATCCGAAGATAAATTTAATAAGAAAATGAGAGTTTTGCCTCTACAAAATTTCTTATATGCTTAATTTAAATTATAGAGATTCTTATAAACTTTAAGAAATCTTGGACCTCCTCACATCAAGGCTAGTCCGAGTCCAAAGAATGAGAGTGGGTTCTAACAGGCTTAACCCAAACCAATCATTAAAATATTCTGGGGTGGATCTCTCAAGCTCATACCCCATCAACAGCATGACTGCAAAAGGCGTCTATGTATATATGTATATATGTAATGAGTATACCGTGGAGAATCTAATTATAGGGTCAACTGATAATAATTTTATTAGAAAATATTTTTTAACATATACACTTTTCACATGAAATATTAATATATTTAAAATTAATGATTTAAACTTTTACAAATTCAAAACATTTATCTCATATTTAAAAAATTATAAAAATTGCTTGCAACTTGTATAAATTAAAAAGTTAAAATTAAACATATAAAATATCAAAAAATTTAGAAAAGAGAAACTGTCCCAATTAGCTTCAAGTTTAAATAATATATTTGGGCTCAATTTAATAATCTTTTTACTAAAATTATTAATTTTTACTCTATTTGTTTTAGAATTTAAAGAAACCTTCAAGTTTAAATAATATATTTGGGCTCAATTTAATAATCTTTTTACTAAAATTATTAATTTTTACTCTATTTTTTTTAGAATTTAAAGAAACCTCACGTCCCAGAAAATACATTTTGTAAATTCAGGTGAGCAAATAAAATTTCAGCTATTCTAAACTTTTAAAAAAGATATAAGTCTTGATTTGAACTTAAACATGTTGTGCAGATCTTAAATTCTTTATCATCATACTACACTGCTTGGAACTATTATTTTTTATCTCTTTAAATCCCATAAGCTAATAACAAATTAATTTATATGATTCAATTTTTTATATTTAATTAATAAATGTTTTTAAAAAGGTCTTTATATGTGTTTATGTACATCCCAGTAAACAAAACTTATGTCGTTATAAGTTTAAGATTTACACTGCTTTATTAAATTTACATATAATATAATTTTAAAACTTGTAGGCAACATAAACTGTGCTCGCATAAAAATTAAACTATACCATTTTATACAATCAATTCCAGCACTGGTGGTGCATGTTCACGGTAAAGTAGCAGTCAAACGTAAGGCTGTGACGGTGTACCGGTGTTCAGTAGCTCTTGATTTTGAGTTTAGAGACCCATCAATCCATCCGCTGATGACAGATCCATAGCTTCTCATCGTTACTGCTCCGGAGTGCTAACATGCTCACAAACCCTTGCTTCTTGATAAATTTTCCCTGGTCTGCAGAGATAGCCCTTGCTTGGTGCGCAATGAATGTCTTGGGAGCATATACACAATCCTTCAAGTGCACAGCCCTCTTTTATTATGTTCACGTCTCCTTGCAGTCCGAGGACTTGGTCTGTCCACTCGTTGGAAAAGAGCCCCATTGGATCATACATCTCCTTTACCCTCAGAAATGCTCCAGCATTTTTGTATTTCTTGAGTGCACCGTTGAACACTAGGTTTCTATTCTTTCCCCAATGTGGCAAACCTCCGTACTTAAACACTGCGAGTTGCTCAATCTCTTCAAGTATGTCTTCATAAAGTCTAGGTTTCGTGGGGTCTTTGTTTCGATAGAATGTAATATCAAAATCCAAAGCATCATCTTCCTTGCCCAGGTAGGCACTTGAGGCCTTCACATAGCGCATGAGGATACCATTGTATTGTTCCAGGCCACATAATGCTCTAGGATCCAGTTTGACGAGCTTTTGCACATCTTGGATGAAGCTCTTCACAACTGACAGGCTGATACTGAATGTGGCTTGGAAAAAATACTCGCCCTTAATTCTTGAATCCCATGGACACGCCGTGATCAATGCATCTTCAGGGCTATCAAGACAAGTTCCTGACGACTGTAGGCGATTGTGGTACCCAATTATAGGATAGCCCGTGAAAACTATTCCTGAAAATCAATCGAAGTCTACAATCACAACAATTTAGTCGCAGAAATATGAATATAAATCAATTAGTTGGAAACTAAAGTACCATTGTTAGTTAGTCCGTAAGCCAAGTGCTTGAGGGTGGATGTAACTAGTTTTGCGCTGACGCACTTCCCATCAGGGTCTTTCAAGGATTCTTGAGCGTCCTCTAACAACGAAATCAAAAGGGAAAAATATTAGTCGTATGGCAATGCAGCTGCTCGACATAGAAAAAGTTCGAGGGATCGATTTGTGTATACGTAACACATATTTTCTTTGTATTTACAGTATAGTGGCAAACCTGTCGCTCTAACGACGGCCAATCCGAGAGAAGAAGTAGAGCGGAAGGGGATGTAGTCGTATAGGCCATTGCCAGAGGTATTAGAAGAAACCCGATCATCAATTCGATAGACTGCCTTGCCTTGACTAGGATACCACGTTATGTCTGCGAACTCATGTTGTCTCCCAAAGCTAGCCACTTGATCTCCCAGGTCAGTATCTTTCTTCGCCACATAGGAAATGGATCTTTTAAAGAGGGGTTGCAGTTGAAGAGTAACCTGACAAAGCCGAACCAAATTTTAATTTAAGATATCTTTAACATTAATAGTTGGGATGTTTATGCATTGTCATTAAAGGATTAATAATAAGACTTGAAATTAATTATCATCTTGGGATGAATAAATATACATTCCCATCTTCGATTAATCTAATAATCTACAAGGCTGTAATTCTTTCTGATATCACCACTCAAGCATTCTTCTCTACTCAATTTAGAATGTGGTTGTTTTTGTGATAGAATTGTATTTTTTTTTTTTAAATTGATTCTTTTTAAAATTTAATTTTTTAGATATTTTTTAATTATTTTGATAGGCTGATATTAAAAAAATAAAATAAAAAATATTATTCTAATATATTTTTAAATAAAAATTACATTAAAAAACAATCACTACCTTAATAACAAATACTAACTCAGTAGAGTTGTCCACTAAAAGCATGTGGGATTATATATTAATTGTATTGAAATGCTTTTCAATACAATTAATATATAATCCCACAGGCCGGCAAATCGTTTTTATTTTTCTGGTTACAAAGTTGAAAAATTGTTGGCTGAGCTTTATTATAAAATTATAAAATTTCTTTGATAGATAAACTAATGGTTTGGCATCACTTCCAATATCTCATTATTTAATTACTTACACTAAGCCATATCACATGGCAGTGTACTTATATAGTATGTAAACCTATTATTTCTTTATTATAAAGCGTGATCAAGCATAATTAAAAAAAAAAAAGTATTGATCGCAACGGTGAAATACTCGTAAATTAGCATTTTTCTTAGAATTATTTCACTCCTTTGTCTCATCAATTATTGCCCCGCTGCTTTTGGCTTGAACTCTTTTATTACAGCATTTCATTACATTTTAATATGACATCACAATATTCTATAATCGTTGTTTAATGTTTTCTATTCAAAATTAAATTCAAATAAAATAATGTGAATTTATATCAGTTTTAAAATATTTGTATTTAGGACATTATCTAAACATCTTATTTTATTTTTTTTATTGAAATGGTTTTATTGAGAGCACCAGAGGTCACTATCAAGGGGTATGTGTCGCTTAGCTTGTGTTTGTGTATTTGGAGCTATAACTACGTTTGTCCTGGTGGCTATCATAATATCTATTTTTTTTTTACAGAGAAATTCCTCTCTTTTTAAAAGAGAGATTATTCTTATATAGAATATAACTTGATAATTGCTTTCTATTTGGATTAGAATCAATTTAAAATAAAATATTAAAAAAATCAAATATTATTATATTTTCTAATAAAATAAAATTTTATTGTACATAAATGTTTAAGTTGATATGATTTAATTGATTTGACAAATCTAGAAATAATATAAATAACTGATAAAAATATAATTTGATTTAAAAAAATTTAAAATAATATTTTTATTAAATTTCACCCAATTTATAAGAGACATGAACTAGGTCTAAATAATAATATTAGTAATATTAACAATTAAAAAATTAGCATGTGGGGGACATAGACGGGGTATAAATAATGACTGAGTTCACCGCATTATAAAAACTCTATCACGAAATACTTTCGAGAACTTACCCACCAAAAACCTGATAGCTAAACCAAATAAATAAATACAAAGTCTGAAAAGGTTTAAAAAATGCTGTCAAATTAAACACAGTCCGCATAAATTAACCAAATCATTCATATCATAGCCTTATAGAATCCCATTATTATATTAAATGAAATTCACTTATCAAAATCAAATCATTTTCCGAAGATAAAAAAATACCATATTTAATTTGTTATATTCCTGAGAACTCTATTCAATGGCCTTAAACCACTTGCTGGATAGAAGGCAAGAGTTACCAATGTCCTCATAACATCAAGTAAACATTAAGTATTTGATTGCTTTTATGCGCATTCATTTTTAAAAGAGGTTCAGTAAAACAAAATCTACAATTTATTATAAGTCAAGTTTTACATAAATAATTCAAGAATATAGACTTCCTTTCGTTGAACAATACGAAGTTAAAAGTCAAGAGTGACATCAATTAAGTTTTTATATGATGGAATTGCCATTCTATTTTCTATTCCCACCAAGCAAAAAAATTTAAAATTTAAATTTAAATTTAAAATCAAGTAACATACTAAATAATTAAGTTTTTATATGATGGAATAACAATTCTATATATTTTATATTCCCACCAAGCAAAAAAAAATAAAACTAAAAATTAAAAATCAAGTAACATACTTAATAATTAAGTTTTTATGTGATGGAATAACAATTCTATATATTATCTATTCCCACAAAACAAAAACAAAAAAAAAGGTTAAAAACATGCTTAATAATTAAGTTTTTATACGATGGAATAACCGTTCTTTTTTCTCTTCCTACCAAACAAAGGGGTGTCCTTTCTCTATGGTCGATTTCCAACAAGAAAAACAGAAGACCTCTGCGTTTCTTCCTCTACGCTATGGGTGTTGATGATGTACCGTGTACGGTTCCCTGTGTGTTCCTTAGGATTAAATTCCATTTGTGTCCTTTTCTCAGGGAACCGAATTAATTCACTTAAAATGCAATCCGACAACGAAAAGAAGGAAACCAATTATATTACTTTGAAGTAATTAAACTTGAAATGCAATCCAACAGTGGAAAGAATGGGACGTTGTAATTATCATATTTTACATGCGTGCTTATGTTGAGTTAACTTTTTTAATCTCATTTCGATCTCATTCTTTTATTATTATTATTATCAAGTAATCTCATTGATTTTCTTGACGCTAAAAGTTAAATATTGTTTAACCCTTGTCCTAATCACAGTCTCGTAATCTTTGCATATCTTTTTTTTATTATTAGTTTTGATATCTAGACAATTTTATTGGAATTACACGAATTAATTTATTAGATAACTGGTAATAATTTTAGGATATTATCATTAAAATGTATGTAAGGTCGTAGTTAATTATGCCGAATAGTTTTTGCATGACAACTATCAAAAGGGACACTCATGTAACTCCACTGTAGTGAAGCCAGCCTTCGAACCGAAAACAGGACAGGAGGAAAGGGGAAAAAGAGAGGAGATAATGACAACATGCGTACCTTCGAAATAACTCCAAGAACTCCAAGCGAGACCTTGGCAGCATCAAGTTCAGCACTATTACTCTCGTTGAGCCTCCGGACCTTAGCATAGCCATCTTGAGGTCTTCCTGGACTAACAATTGTTAGTGCCACCACATAATCATGAATTGCACTCCCTTTTCCCCACAATGTGCTTCCATGCGCACCCGTGCTCAATAGGCCACCAATAGTCAAGCCCCACCAATATGGCGAGTAAGGCAATGCAAGGCCAGCCTTGGCAGCCTCGTTGATAAGCTGTCTCAGAGTGACTCCACTTTCTACGCTTATTTTCATCGATTGAACGTCAATTTCCAGTGTACGATTGAGGTGATCGGTGCTTATAAGCAATCCATTTTGGCCATCTGGGCAAACTAGTTTAGGGATGCTATGAGAATAACGAGTTGCCACCTTCACCTTTCTCCTGGCCCTGGTCGCTGCTGCTACTACTGAAATCAGCTCCTCTTCTGTGGTGGGGTATGCCGCGTTTGCTGCTTGACATATGCTGCGATCAGGGAAAGTGCCATACGAGTTTGTGATAGTACAGTTTGTGTTTGTTGATGAGCATTTGATGTGGTTCTCCGGGGGGCTGCAACCCACCATAAAGACCGCCAATAGGAGACAGCTGGTTGATAGGAGGATTCGCTGGAATATTTCCATTTTCTGGAGTATTGACAATGGCGTGGTTGAGAATAGTTTTTTTGGGTAATTTTACTTTCACAGACATACATATAGAGCTGCCACACCTTGCTCTTAATGATGATCTGTGGACACCTATATATATAGCGTAAAGGGTTTGTGCCAAAGAAAAGAAAGATGCTAGCCAGGATGCTTTCAAGTTAAGAGAACTAATTTAATTTAATTTAATTTTAACCCGCTTGATTTTTATACTTGCCAAATGGGAAAATATATATATATATATTGCGCTTGAGAAAATGGCAATGGGATCGTTGTTTTTTGTTGGGATAGAAGACAGACAAGATTTGTTCTATATTATCATTGAAGGAAAGACAAGAAAGTAAAATTGGAAAGCACGACCATGTCAATCTGTGATAAGTGAATGCACCCTCGTGACAAGTCGGTCGGATTAATTGTCTTAACAGGAAATACTATAGTGTGTATACGGGGTTTCGAACTAACATCACTTGAATAATTTGATCTCCACCTGTCACACACCTTGAAGGAGAGGTGTTCCATCTCTCCTCTAGTGAAGGCTGCAGCCTTTGAAGTGAAGTTGTCGATGCACGGGCTACGAAAAATGGTGACGGAGTAGCTGTTTTTTCCCAGAGGTGCTGTACTGTGGCTAGTGCTTACCATGTGTGAAGCCAACTCGTTTTCACACGCAACATTCCCCCCGTCCTGCCATGTCAGAAGATTTTTTAAGGCGGTAGCGGGGTGCATTGTGCGCCTTGCACATTTGCTTTTAATAATGTGGCGCCAAGTCTCAAACCAGAATTTTCTTTCGTGCAGGGCTTGATCTACATTTTCAATGCTCTTTTCTTACTCTGCTTCGAGTTTCTCGTTTATCATGATTATCCTAACCCAGTAGCTTAAGGTCTAGTTCGTGCCCACCGTCTTCGTGGTTGCGCGCTCGGTTATTCTGATAGTTCACAAGAGCTTGAGTTCTGACCAAGTTGGAAAAACTTCAAATTAAAATATGAGGTTTTCCATAACTGGTGTGATGGGTTTGAATTGCCCTCCTGACTCACGCAAAACAAGTTTTTTATCGTAATAAAAAGCCCATATAGTATTTAAGTTAATATAGATAAAATAAAAAAAAATGTAGGATAGTGAATATTATAATTGTTATGTGAGGTATTGTAACATGGCTTGTTACACTTTATTAACTAATAATTTAAGATATTTATGTATATCGGTCACGTGAAATTGAGTAATAAAAAATGAAACACAAATGGTTGGTTGCAGCACATATTATTAATTGGTTAAATAGAATAGCGCCGTTCTAGCAAGTGGTGAGACATGTGCCGGACAGCTATGTAATGGAGAATTTATGCATACGCCATGGAATGCCAGAAGGTAGTTGCGCGGCGTCGTATTGACATGGCATGTGCCCGTAAGTTTGCGTAGCGACAAGATTCGTGTCGCAAAATTCTTTTTCTTTCCTTTCCCCTCTCTCCCGTGGATGTTGTACGGTCAAGCAAATGTAGGGATTGAATTGGAGATTTCTTGAAGAACCAGGGACTGATTTGGATAAGTCTGCTAATGCTGCATTATGAAAATAATTGTTGCAATTAAGAGAATTAGTTAAAGTCAAGAACAACAAAGCTGGAGAATGGATGCAGAAACTGCTAGATTACAAAAAAAAAAAAAATACACAAAAGCGCGGCAGGCCCCATTGTCTAGTTTGTTAATTTTTAATTTGTTTTACTTGATGTCGTTTGATATCGCTTAAAACTTGCTTACTTTTAATAGATCTCTTCTGCTAGCATATGTGGGCCACTTCGGCACGAGATTTCAACTCTTTGACTTTCATATCAAACACATATTTTCACTTGGAATCCAATTTCTTTCCTTGCCTACAGTGCTATATGTTTTTTATTTTAAAATAATATTTACATCAAAACAATTTAGAAACATAAAAAATAAATTTAAATATATTTTTAAAATTTTTAACAAGAAATATTTGTCTGTGTTTCCAAACAATACATTTATTTTTCTTTTTTATATTTGTATTAGTTAAGTTTCAATTAGCATGATCCGTTTCCCTGATCACAAAGAGCTTCGTATTTTTGTATTTTAAAAATACTTTTAAAGAAATTTAAATTTTTTAATTTCAATTAATTTTTTATATATTAATATTAAAAATATTTTTTGAAAAATAATAAAAAATATTATTTTAAAAAACAATGGTAACTTCCAGACACCCCATTATTGCCGTAAGGCTGCAGTTGCTCAGTTTATTAATGCAAGCTCGTCCAACCGGTTACTAATCTTGACAAGACTGCTTTGACTTAAGTGGCTTTGGACTCTAAAGATTATTTCGTCGCCGACACAACCGGAGCTGCCGGGTAATTCGCTTATAAATTTTATAGTCCCTCACGCATCACCGACATGACCCTTCATGTTTTTCAAAAAACAAAAAAAAACATTTAACATTTATTTTGTTGATTGAGTGCGGTTCTAGAGTTGAATATAATAAATGGGAATTCTATTTGTAAAAAAAATGGAATTCTATGGTAATAGCATCTCCGATAGAGAAGCTAAATAGATAATTAAAAATAAAAAATTAATATTTTAGTTTTTTTTGTTTATTTTATATATTTTAAGAAAAAAATTAAACAAAATATTAAAATACCTTTTTTCTCCCACAAATATTATTTTTATATATCTCTTCAAAGAGCCAAAATCAACAAAGTGAGATCACTAAAAAAATAGACCAATTAAATATAGACATGTAGAAAAAAAATAACATTAAATTAAAAAATAATAAAATACTTTTTTTTTTAATATATATTGCTCTTTAAATGATTTTTTTTTCATTGGAATAGATATAGTAAAATAAACTATATTTATACTATTCAAAATGCTATTTTACCAATTTAATTTTTCAAAATAGCATTTTGCATTGGAGATGCTCTAAATATAAAAAAGGTAGGCTTGTTTAGATAAGAAATTTTTTTAAAAATAAAATTATTTACACACGCATGTTCTCCCATTTTATATATAAAATGTTCTTCTTCTTTATATATATATATATATATATATATATATATATATGGTTTAAATCAAGCCCAGCTCCCATTTAAATTTTCAAGTTATTCCATTAATTCTTTTGTTTTACATACCATCAATTCATATTCATTTTAAATTTGCTGTCGATTTACCCCAATCTCAACCTTTCCAATGTGTGTATATATCAAAACATAAAGCTTTTTAATTTTAAATTCCAAAAATACTATAGTTAAGAAATTCATTCCCAATATCTTCATCTCGAATAACACTTACAAAATAAAATCACAATTTATAGAAAATACCATTAATTATCCAATTTTTCTTAGAACTTTATAGATGAACAGCTCTAAGGGGCTCCTTTTCCTTCATAATTTATCTCTATATATTCTCATCAATAACATTTCTTATATCTTTACTAACCAAAAAACACAACAATCTAACAATTCCTACCAATAATTCAAAAAATCCTTAAATCAAAGTGCATTAAAAATTAAATTACAACAAAACAAAATGATTAAACTCATCTCCATTCATTCTTTCGTATCAATACACAGTAAATACATGAAGTAAACAAATATTCAAATCAATTAAATATAATTTTCCTTTTTCTTCTTATTTGGCCGACCTCCAACCCCACTTAACATTATGAATTAAAACATAGTTTTATATTAGTCTTATTAGTCGAATTAAAACGTAAACTTAAAATCTTAATTATTGAAAAGATATAATTTATATTTATTTTAAATTTATTTTTTAAAATCATATCTTAAAAAAATCACAAAACTATATGAATAATGAACACCATGAATTTAGGAGATATTTAAGGGTGTGGATGTGATTGATTTTTAATATGTTTTTCACTTTAAAATGTATTAAAAAATATTTTTAGTTTTTAAAAAATTATTTTTAATAGGAGTATATTAAAATAATCTAAAAATATAAAAAATAAAAATTTATGTATTTTTTAAAATTATTTTTAAAACATAAAACCATGCATTACTCCATGGTACCATCATTACAGGTGAGGTAGCCAGAGATTTGTCAATTCAGTTGAGAGAGTGATTTAGGTAGTGGGGCTCAGGAAGGGTCACTTTATAATTATTAATAATTTATTATTCGACCGGTTTCTGATTAGCCGCTCAAATAATCACTCGCTGCAATGAACCTTTAGCTACATCACGGAGAAAAGCATTAACCAGCCCGTCATCTCTCAATTTGTAACGAACCTTCTATACGAATTGAGACATGGTTCATCAGCAGTACAATATCTCAGGCTTCACAATTACGCTGATGCCACCAGTTCCCGGAAATTATTTTGAAAGAAGCAGAGAATACAATCATACATCCAAGAAACCTTCTTGCTCGCTAATGACTGATGAGTTATCGAGGGTGCATGAAAGAGAACTCTTGACAGACAAAAAATAAATAAAAAACAGGAAAACGTTCCATGTGCAGTGGTTACTGGTAAGAACTTGAAAATAAAATAAAATGGATTGTTCAAATGGGAGAGTTGGAAAGCAGTTGTCAGATTGGGTCTCTCCAACTACACGAACCATTATCAAGTTGGAAAGTCTCAAGATATTCAGTTCCAGAAATTAATGCAGAATAAACGAGAGGAAAGGGTATTGAATGTCTGTTTATTTTTACGTTTCAAATTTTTTTTAAAAAAATTTGATTTATTTATTTATTTTAAATTAATATATTTTTAAATATTTTTAATGTTTTGATATCAAAAATAAATTTTAAAAATAAAAAATATTATTAACAAAAATTTAATATAAAAAATTATTTTAAAATTACTTATAATTACATTTTCAAACTAACTCCAACTGCCGATGGGACGGTGTAGTAAAGGCCCGTCTTTTGGGAGTTTTGGATGGCTGGGCTGCACAATATTACCTCAAACAAATAGAAAATGGAGTGTACAGTGAATGGAAATTGACGAGTAAATCCTTAAGAGAACGTAAATCAGGTGGGAATTAGGTCTAGCATGCCTGTTTCGACGGTGTACTAAATCCAAGTAAAGAATGCATCAGGCGAGTTGTAAGACCCAGGATGTTGATACAATTTAGTTTAGTTTAGGGACATAAATTACACTAATTATAGTATATTAGGAACTCAAAAGAGTTATCTACC